AACAACACCCTCCTTGAGAAAGACTGGGTAAGAGAAGAAATCAAACTAGAAATTCGAAAATTCCTTGAATCAATCATTAGTTGACAGTTTACCTGAAAATAGACTTCAGTGGTCACACAACAAATAATAGGGGCTTAAAAAATAGTGCTGCAGTAAATAACCCTGTATGCGTGTATTTTTTTTTTTTTTTACTATTTAGGTACAAAAAATACGTTTTCCACTAAAGGGTCTACAACAGTGATATTAAAGTTAACACTGAGCACAGCTAGCACCCAGACCTTGTTTTCTAAATTATTCTTATGACAGGGAGCCAGAACTTATTGGACAAATGGCTAATTCTAGTTCTGAATTAGGGAAAATACAAGAGAAACCAGAAAGTTTCTTGTGCCAGAAAATAAGAGAGTGCTCAAAGACAAACAAACCAAAACCAAACCAAATTCACTGCCATAGAGTTGATCCCTACTCATAGTGACCCCTCCTTGGGTTTCCAAGGCAGTATCTCTATGGAAATAGATTGCCCAATCTTCCTTCCAAGGAGTGGCTGGTGGGTTTGAACCTCCAGGCTTCTGGTTAGCAATTAGATGCCTTAGGAACTATACCACCAGAGCTCCCTTTTTGCTGTCTTCCTAAATTGTCTCATTAGTAGTTGGGGAATATGACTCTATTAAACACAGCCACAGCTATTAAAACTATAATGTAGGTTTCAGTAAAGCCCCAGTGTTCACAGCTTTGTGGTCACTAGAACCATTACCTGAAATATGGAATGGATAAAATTTGGCAATGGTGGGTGGGAGAATTTGTTTTTGGTTTTGAACATGCTGACTTTGAAGCACAGTTATAAATTCAGCTCTGGCTTGATGATTCTCTCTGCTTAAGAGAGCAGAAGACTAGAGGTGTAGATTTGGGAATCATCAGGATGGACGACCTGTCTGAAGCCATTGGAGTAAATTACATTGAGAGGATGTAGACTAAGGCATTGCTTAGGATGAGAAGCAAGATCATTGACCTGGCAATTAAGAGGCTAGCAGTGATTGCCTAGAAAGAACTAGAGTGTGGGCAGCAACCAAATGCAGGAGAAATCTATGAATGAGGAGAGGAATAGGGCTTATGGTATTTTGAGGGTCAAGTAGCATAAAGGGACAGTGTTTCCAAGACACTGAAAACAACTAAGTTTGTAGGTAATGAGGAAGAAACCAGTGGAAAGGGAGAGACTGAGAACATTTTCTTTAAGTATTTCTTACTTTTTGCTTTTCATTCAAAATTGTCTGTAACCTTTGTGGCTGCAAGGCCTACCTAGACTATGCAGTATGATTTTACTTCAAATATTTGCTACTGGACTATAAATATAGATTTTTTTCTCTGCAAATCTAGTGGGAAATTCTGCCCACTCATTGAGTTTTAGATTATGATAAATCTCTACCTTTCATTTATCTTGATCTAAATTTTGCTATCCTAGTCCTAAAAACACAGACCTGTTCAGTATATAAAAAGAAAAATATGTGATACCTTCTTTACTAACATGATCTTGCCTTTAAAATGAAGGAAAAAAAAAATGGTGCTTGGTAGATAAATGCAGATTATTTTAACATCGTGGTTATGTAAATATTGACAGTATGTTGGTATCAATGTTGTTCTAGGAAACAAGTATTTGAATATCCAACATAATTCAGTATATTGGTTTGTGACTAGATCATGTTAAAATTGAGTGTGTGTGTATGGGGTGCTGTTATTTATGTGTATGTGTGTTTTCCATTGAAAATGTTGCAGTACGTCGTCTGTCACTGTCTTCACGCTCTAGGGGTGGGCTGAGGTAGAGAGGGTGTGACGCTGGTGTTTGTGTGAACTCGGGCTTATGATGCTGAGCTTGGTTCATCTGCTTTCTCCTCCCTTCTCCTCCCTACTCCTTCCCACCAGCGCCACAGCAACATCCTCAGAGTCAGAGCGAACAGCGCCCAGGCGGGCACAGAGCCTCCCAACGCCAGCAACCTGCGGCCCGGGAGAAGACGGAGAGCGCAGTGACAGCGCTTCACAGCCTCCAGTCCCCGGACCACAATGGCCAAGAACCGCAGGGATAGAAACAGTTGGGGTGAGTGAGTATCAGTGTTAACTTCTGCAGCTTGTACAGTGACTGGCCCTCTGCTTTCTGCTTCTGGAGTCGGGGAGGGCACTGATCGGCGCCAGCGATTAGGGTTGGGGGAGAAGGGACAAGCTGATTCCTGTTGGACCAGAGGAGCCAAGGCCGAGACGTACCCGTGGAACTGGAATCGCTCTGTCCGGGCGAAGGATGCAGGTTCGCGCAGGCCGGAACCTCTAACGTCCTCTTCCCCCACACTCAGCCCGCCGCCTCCCAGCATTTGGACAGCACCCACCCATCGCCTCCGCGAACCGGGTGGTGCTCCCTTTAGGGATAAGTTGAAAGGAAGGCGGTGAGAATGGGCAGGGGTTGCTGTTAACCGGCCGACAAGGGTGCGGGGATCTCCAGCAGGCAGAACCCTCCCCCTTCCCCGGGAGTTGCGAGGTCTCCCGCCTGGCTGGGCGCGGGCTCCCCGCGGGCGGGCGGCGCGTTGGAACAATGAGCCGGAGCGCGCCTCGCAGGGACGGAGCACTGCGGACCCAGGCAACCCGGGAGACGGGGCGCCCGCTTGGGAGGCCCGGAGCGCTTCAGTGCTCGTTTTAATTTGGAGGTTAGGTGGGGAATTCGGGAAGTTATGGTTTCCAGCCTCCTGCCCCGCTCGACCCCATTTCAGGCTAGCTCAAAAGGTGGCTTTGTTCTTTGATTTTACCTTTTAGAGGTACTGGGCTCATGATTCAGCACCAGGCCGAGGGGAGGGGGAAGGAGAGGCTAGGCCCAGTGGGTTCACGCGGCGAGTGGGTGGGCGGTGCTCACGCAGGCGAAGAAGAGCGAGCGCAGTGATGCGGAAGAAATCGCGGCCCCGCCCGCTTTGCTGCTCCAGAACTGGTTAGCTCCAATCGTGTGGGAAGGCTGGGCGTTTTTTGCCGACTTGGGCTCCAGATTTCTTCCAGCAACTGTGATAAACTGTCCAGCATCTTAGGAATAACGCCATCATGGATATTACCTAAACCAGTGCAGACCCAGGCCACTGTGACTTGGTGGGTAAAGAAATACTTCGTTAGCTTTGAACTGTTGTGATTTAGAAGCTCACACTTGCTCGGAGTTTGGAGCTGCTTGATTCTCTTCCAGGCCCCAGTGAAATCTCTTCTATAACTGTCTGACAAAGAAGCATGTGTTTAATTTTGATTGGTTATTTTGGTTCACTTTTATCGAGAGATTTTATGTTTTTCTTGCTTCTGATTCTTGTGGTCACAGAATTATCCTTACCCCCAAGTAGCCAAGGCTTGTATTTGAGACATCATCCAAGGTTTGTGGTAGATGTGGAGAATTGGAGAAGGGAGGTACATTAGTTGTCTGAACCTGAGAAAAAGCAGTTCCATTTCTGAAATCATCAAACCCCAATTTTAATATGTGTGACTGTCGCAATAATATCATTTTCTTTGCTTCTTCTGAAATGGGAGTATTTTCAGAGTGTCCCCTTTCTACCCTTTCTTTTGGCCTGCAGAATAGGAATTTCTTGAACACTCACAATTACAGCCTACAGGCAGTCCCTGACTTACAGTGGAGTTCCATTCCAACCACTTCATAGTAAGTTGGTTCTGACATCAGTCAAATACTTAATTTTTTTTTTAAATTATTGTCTTTTATTTTAAGCCTCTTTCTAGATCATGACATTGAACATCTGTAAGTGAACATCTGAGAATAACAGCAAATTATGCACTGCAACTTTGTATGTAGTACATATTTACTACATATAGTACATGTAGAACATAATGTAGTATATACAACTTTGAATGTACTACATATTTACTACATACAGTACATGTAGAACATATGTAGTACATACAACTTTGTATGTAGTACATGTCATAAGTTGGGACTACTTGTATATGTTCAGGTCAATTTTGGTCTTGATCTCTGTGGACTGTTGACTCCATCCTATAAAAGACCCAAAAAAACCAAACCCACTGCCAGCAACCTTATAGAACAAAGTAGAACTGCCCCATAGGGTTTCCAGGAGTCTTTTAGCACAGTGCCTAATGCACTTGACTGCTAACCAGAAGGCTGGAGGTTCAAACCCACCAGCCACTCCTTGGAAGGAAGATGGGGCAATCTACTTCCATAGTGATACTGCCTCGGAAACCCAAGGAGGGGTCGCTATGAGTCAGGTCTGACTTGATGGCACATAATAACAACAACAACATAGGGTTTCCAAGGTTGTAAATCTTTACAGAGGCTCAGAGGGTCTGGTTCAAAGTGCTGACCTTTTGGCTAGCAATCAAATTAGCTTAACAACGGTGCCACCAGAGCTCATTCCTGTAAGAGACAGGCATGGGGAAATTTATCCAGAGGGATAAAATTTTTCTTGTTTGTGAAACGTTGCATCGTTATTTCTTTGGGTACAGATTTCTTACGTAGTGAAATCCACCCCTCCCCCCTTTAGGTTAGTGGTTCTCAAATGGAAATTACATAAAAATAGCATTGGTAGGTTATCAGAAATGCAGATACCTGTCTTCAGAGCTTCTCAGTCAATAGATCTGAAATGGGACTCAGAAATCTGCCTTTTAATTAGCATTTTAGATAATTCAGAAGCAGGTGGTCTTTGGAATGTTACTTTGAGAAGCAGTATCTTATTTATATTTAAGAGAAACACATCCCAGATGGTTTACCCAGAAGTCACCAGTACAGTTTCAACTCAAGTAATAGATTAGGAAAAGGAATGTTAGTCATCATGTGTTCACTGGCAATTGCCACAGAAAAGAAATAGTAGAATTATGGAGTCTTATCTTGTTCTATGGAAATGCTTTACTATTCAGATTTTTTTTTTTTGCTGTAAAGTATATGTGACATAAATGACTTAGAAAATGTATTTGAAATAGCAGAGGTTTTGAAAGAAAGGTTAACTATATCTGTCTTGATTTCATTTTATCATCAGCTCCTAAAAAAACCCATTGCCCTTTGGTCGGATCTGACTCATAGCGACCCTTCCTTGGATTTCTGAGGCAGTATCACTACCGAAGTAGATTGCCCACCTTCCTTCCCAGGAGTGGCTGGTGGGTATGAACCACCAGCCTTCTGGTTAGCAGTCAAATGCCTTAGGCACTATACCACCAGAGCTCCCTCATCAGCACCTAGATAATACCAAATACCTAGAGTTGTCTTTTAACTGATTTTCCATAATGTGATACTATAGGATTTTTTTTTTTTTTTTAAAGAAAATGGGGTAAAGTGTGAGGGTGAAAGAGAAAAGAGCCCTTTTAGAAGCCAGGGATCTCTGATGAGGAAGAAAACTCAGGTAATAGTTTAGCAAAAGAAAATGGTGAACTGACTTTATCATCTACCTAAGTGAATGTTTTTCAGATAAGTTAGAAAGAAAAGGGCAGAGGACAAAGGTAGACAATCCAGAATTGTAAAATAGTGTGTTTCCCAAGAAAAGGGAAAAAAAGATATTTGAAAGATCTCCACAAGGGCATTAAAATTCAGATAAGGGCCATGGAGGGAAGAAAAGCCTGGTGATCTACTTTTAAAATACGAGCCATTGAAAACCTTCTGCTGTGTGATTTTAATCTGACACATACGGAGTTGCCATGAATCAACATCAACTTGACAGCAACCAGTAAAGGGACATATAATAGATAATTGTTTTTATTTGAGTGGCCAGAGACTTTTTAGGTCCTTTAGGGATCATGGAAGCTAAAAAGCAGAAAAGCAACTCTGGTGCCCACCAAGGCTGGGTGTGGTGTTTGAGGATCATATCCAGGGATACAACTGGGAAGCAAGTCTGTGAGTGGAGCTGAGAATGCTACTAGCCTTGAGTGCTCTGCCTAAACCTATATTTAACTAGAAGTTTGAATAAATTTAAGCATTTAATAAAATTCTTCAGAGGTACTAGTTATCCATACCTTAGTATATGAGCAGTCTGATAGTGTAAGTAACCTGTCAGAGGTACCATGTTCTATAAATTCTACATCTAGGATTTAAATTCAGGGTTGATTGCTTCCAGTCCATGTGATGAGAACAAAGAACTGGAACAGTATGCCAAAAGGTGCCAGGAAAAGCCTATCTAGGATTAAACTGGTATAAGAAATCAATGCTCTATGAACTTGCTTGCCTTGTACTAGAAAAGTAGGCAAAGAATGTGCTAGTGTGCAAGATAAAGGGGACAGATGCATATCAGAGACAGTAACCCAGAAAGCAATGTCTGTCATTGCTGGGTTAGGGCTTCAATACTACCAGAGATAAAACAGAAGTGCCTTACCCACATTCAGACACTCACTTTTTTTGTTTGTCTGTTTTTGTTAACTGAAGTTGTTAAACACTTGGAATACTAAATGGGAAGTATGACACTTCACCATTGCTTTAGAAAAATAATGTTTGCACTAAAGTGTCAGCTCTGCCTACCTGTTTTTGTAAAACTGACCTTGCTTCACAATAAATATGTAGGAAGTGTCTATTTGTTAAAAGTTAATTTTTAAGTTTCTGATTTTGTTTTTATAAGGGAAAATTAAACACAGTATGAGGAGAGCAGAGATACCTCTTGATCTTCTTTCTTTTCTAACAGGCTGTCTTCTATTTTTCTTAAAATAAGACTGTTTCTCCCTTCTTTGTTCATTTTCTAAATTCCTCTTCCTGCTGAAAAAAAAAACAATACTTTCTCTTGGGTTGTGTATGTACTTCCTCTGAAGATTCCCCATTCCCCTTTTATTACCTTCCTTGCATCTTTTTCAAATATTTTTTTTTATCCTATAGATAAGTATTTTTTTTTAAGTACTTATTGTTAGGTACTGTTGAGTCCCAACTCATAGTGACCCTATGTACAATAGAACAAAAAACACTGCTGGGTCCTTCATCACCCTCACAGTCCTTGTGTTTTAGCCCACTGTTGCAGCCACTGCGTCAGTCCATATCGTTGAGGGTCTTCCTCTTTTTCATGGGCCCTCTGCTTTACCAAGCATGATATCCTTCTTCAGGAACTTGTCCCTCCTGATAACATGTCCAAAGTACATGAGGCA